AAAAACCGGGCTTCACGCGGGCAGAGTTTCGGCTCGAAAACTCTTTTTCTCGGGATCTTCGAGGCTTCGGGACTTGCTTCGGGTGTCGGGGATGGTATTGGGACTTCGGGGGGGGGGGTTAAAAGTAGGCTAAAAGAGTGTTTAAAGTGAAAGAGAAATGAGAATTGGTAACATAAACCCGGAGGGCTTGATTTCTATTTATAGGCTGAAAATTCGACTTTCACGTCGTGAACTAGGCTTGTTCACGTCGTGACTTTTGATCCTGGTCATCCCCTAGGCTTGCCGTGTGTCTTCTAGGCTCGAAACGTGTCGTTCACTGAGTTCACGTCGTGAACACTGTGTTCACGTCGTGAATGCAGTCAAATTCTCGAAGTTTGTGCTCCGAACTTAAAAATTCATATCTTTCGCATAGGAACTCCGTTTTTGACGTTCTTTATATCAACGCGTAGGTGAAATTATGATCTACAACTTTTGTTTAGACTCCATCGGCAAATTTTGACTTTATTTTTAATATTATATTAATATTATATTTTTAACGGGCCGAGACAGGAAAAGTCCGTTAAAATTTCATAACTTCTTCATCCGACGTCCGTTTTCGTCTGTCTTTTTATCGTTATGCTACTATTAACGAGATATTAAATTCTCGTTTAGATTGTGTCGGCTAAAAATCACTCGATCTTTATTTCGAGTTTTTAGCTGTCTACTACTATACCGAAACTTAGAAAAATCATAACTTCCTCATACGAAGTCAGATTTGGACGTTCTTTTTATGCATGCTCTCGGTTTAACGAACTCTACGACTTTCGTTTAGATCACTAAGGCTAACAATCGTTCTATCGTAAATTCACTATTTACGTCACGCTGTGTCGTGCCGGTTTTGTCGCGAAACTTCGACGGGTCATAACTTCTTCGTTATAACTCGGATTTCAGCGTTCTTTATATGTACGGAATCCTTGTAACATATACTAAAACTTAGTTAAGATTACTCCTTATAAATAATCTTCCATCAAAAAGTCATTTTTAACGCTCATTGTCCTTAAATTGACTAGCCCGAATCTGCGGGCGTTACACACAAGGACTTCTAGGTTGGAGCAAGATCGCTACCTTGGCGCAACAGGAATATGCATGGCACAACAAGGCCCTGCATGGCACAAGAGCATACCTCATGGCGCAAGAGGGATCCTCATGGCGCAAGAGGAACCCCTCATGGAGCAAGAGGGAGCATTATGGCACAAGAAGGAATGCCATGGCACAACATCCTTCTTGGCCCATCCATTTATCATATGGCGCAACAAGGTCCCCTTGTTGCTCCATATCACTCCCAAGTGCTCTAAAACCTCTTCCTGGTGCTCCAAACCCCCTTCTATATGATCCCTTCCGTTGGCACTTGATCCGTTCCTTTGTCAGACGATCCATACCCTTCTCAGATGATCCGTTCCTTTTTCACATGCTTTATGAACCTCAAGTGCTTCATTGAGTTCTAAGTGCTCCAAATGAACTCAAAATAATTCATCCAAGTGCTCCACTTTATTCTATGTGCTCCATGTTGGGCAAGACTTCATAATTCAACAATTAATTCGTTTGAGAGAAGAATTGAAGAAGCAAACAATGAGAAAACAAGAAACTTGAGACAGAGATAAAGACAATATATATACAAAGAGACCGTGATCGCTGCCCACCAACATCTCATGCGTGATTATTTTGATGAAAATGATATTTTGAGTTGTCATGGTTTAGTTTTTTGTTATGTGATTTTTGTTTTGATTTAATAGAGAATTTAGTTTAAAAAAAGGAAAATATCACAAAAGTCATGTCTCAAATTTGACAATGTGTTTTTCAATTTGTTACAAATCTGACCACTTGACCGGTCAAACCGGTTGCCCGCTGAGGTGTGATGATGACGTGACATACTGACATGTCAAAATTGTTTTTTTTCATAAAAGACACTAAGTTTTCACTTTTTTTTCAATTTTAACTCTTAAGTTTTTTTTACACTCCTTTTTTTTTGTTCCAAATAGAACATGATTTTTTTTCAATTTTGTTAAATATTGACAATTTTCCATTTGAAACCATATAAAAAATATTTTTTTTCACTGAAAAACCACATTTTTGTATAAATATAAAGTTTTTTACATTCAAACCATAATGTTATGTATAAATATATATTAGTTATATTATAACCTTATTTGACATTAAATGCGCAACTTTAAAATGAGTTTGGAGATTTGGAGTGCACAATCAGATAAACTAATTTGATATCGGGAACACGAAGGTTCGATGTTCACTTTAATTACCAAGGGACCGTTTGTTGTATATATTCGTGATTTTTGGTTCTTGCAGATATATTTCTTCTTAATTTAACATTACAATGGTGCATGAAAAATACGGTTATAATATAATTAATATATATTTATACATAACATTATGGTTTGAATGTACTTATACAAACTATGGTTTTTAAGTGAAAAGAAAATATTTATACGGTTTCAAATGTAAAAACAATATTTATACGGTTTCAAATGGAACAAAAAGATAATGTCTGATTTGGAATAAAAAACTGGAGTGTCACGTCATCAAAACTGAACAAAATTGAAAAAATGATGATCAATTTGGAACAAAAAAATTGAGTGTCCAAATTGAAAAAAATAAAATAAAAACTTAGCGTCAAAATTGATAAAAAGTATAATTTTAGTATCTTTTGTAACATTTTGTTCAATTTTGACACGCCAGCATGTCATGTTATCAAAATTGACACGCCATAATGCACGTCAGCATACAACCGGTTTTACCGATCAAGAAATCAAAATTGTAATAAATTGAAAAACACAGTTTCCAATTTGAAAAAAAAACACACTGTCAATTAGAGTCTTAATATAAAGTTAATGACTTTTGTATTATTTTCCCTTAAAAAATTATGAACCCACCTGTTATTTAAATGACATCGTAAAATCGGTGTGTGGTAAAATCCATGTAGCAAAGATGTGAAAGATAAAAAAAACTAAGATGAAACTAAAATGGCCGTGCACCAAAGGATGACATGACTCTTTCTCACATAATAATTAAACAGAAATGACTTATTAAGGTAATTAACTTTTTGGTATGTCTACATCTGGGTAACTATCTTTTTTTGTACACATCTAGGTAACAAACTTATTGGAAGTGTTCACATATGACCATTATGACCTGCTGTAGCGGGTTAAATTCTAGATGTGAACACTTTCAACAAGTTGTTACGTAGATGTGTACAAAAAAATAATTACCAAAATATGAACAAAACGAAAAGTAAGAGTAAATTACACGAATGGTCCCTGTGGTTTCGTGGAATTTGTGTTTTTGGTCCCTAACTTATTTTTTTAACTCGGATGGTCCATACTATTTATTTTTGTTGCACGTTTGGTCGCTGTCTTACCTAAAAAGACTATTGTGCTCTTATTAATTTATTTTTTAATTAATTTTCTTATTTATATATTTATTTTTTTATATATTTAAAAAAATTAATAGACCCCACATATCTGTATCTCCTCGGATAATCCATATTGTTTATTTTTTTAACTCGGATAATCTCTACTGTTTATTTTTGTTACGCGCTTGGTCCATGTCTTACCTAAAAAGACTATTGTGCCCTTATTAATTTATTTATTTTTAATTAATTTTCTTATTTATGTATTTATTCTTTATATATTTAAAAAAAATTAATAGACATCTGTATATCCTCACCATCCCATCTCTCATCCTCCTCAATTCTATTTATTTTCCATCTTTAGTCATATCGACGTCTTCACAATCCCTTATTTTTTCGGTCCTTCAACTCCGTCGAATCAACACCACAACCCACTAAAGATGAAGAGACAGTGGGTTATGGTGTTGGTTCGCCAGAGTTGAAGGACAAAAAAAAGAAGGATGGTGAAGACGTCGATGTCACTAAAGATGGAAAAGAAATAGAAGTTGACGATGATGAGAGATGGGATGGTGACTGGTGAGACCCAAATTAAATTTCTCAAATGTGGTTTCAGGTTTACGGTGAGGAGATACAAATATGTGGGGTCTATTAATTTTTTTAAATATATAAAAAATAAATACATAAATAAGAAAATTAATTAAAAAATAAATTAATAAGGACACAATAGTCTTTTAAGGTAAGACGGGGACCAAACGCCCAACAAAAATAAACAGTAGGGACCATCCGAGTTAAGAAAATAAGTTAGGGAGCAAAAACACAAATTCCCCCAAACCATAGGGACCATTTGTGTAATTTACTCTTACTTTTTGTTTTGTTCATATTTGGGTAACTATTTTTTTATACACATCTAGGTAAACAACTTGTTGAAAATTTTCACATCTAGGATGTAACCTGCTGTAGCAGGTCATAGTGGTCATATGTGAACATTCCAACAAGTTTGTTACTTAGATGTGTACAAAAAAAGTTAGTTACCCAGATGTGAACATACCGAAAAGTTAATTATCTTAATAAGTCATTTTCCCTAATTAAACCACATAAGTAAATGAAAAACATATAGTTGGTTTTTTTTTAGTATATTGCATAAAATTAAGTACATTATTTTCATAAAATAACACACATGCCTGGGCAAGACATTTAGCGTGATTCGGCACAACTTTTGAGAAGAAAAGGACCATAAGCAGCTCACAAGGTCTCCATTTGCATTTCATTCAGAAATAGAACATATCTGTTAAAAGATATATATTTTTTTAAAAAATGCCAAACACAAAACATCAGAACCACATATATGCTTTATATATCCACCAACTATTCCTCTTTTTAACCAAGACCTCACAGTTTGACCACCCATATGCTTCAAGAAATAAAAAATAAATTACTACTAATCAAATGTCTAAAATACCATTCAATAAAAACAGCATATAACTTGTCAAGATGTTAAAAAAAATAGAAACCCACATAGAATATTATTCATTTTCACATGAGCACTTTGCATATACGTCTATATAAGTCGACTAAGTATGTAGAAAATAAACAAAGTGAAGAGGATCCAAATTTAGCAGAGGAAGACAAACCAACGTTTAGTTGACACCTGTCAACCTGCTTTTTTGCATGAGATCGATCAATCTATGCTAGTCACTAGTCAGAGGTACTCACTGAGCTTTAATATAAATCACATTCATTCACAGCCTCTGCATTGCCACTTTCTCACACCACTAACTGTTAACTCCTCTTTTTTTCTTCATATTTATAACTTCCATCTCTTATGGAGGAATAAAGGCTACTAACTAAAAGCTATTATATATAGACTTCATAGTCATTTTCAAGAAAAGTTATACGATTATAACTACACTATTTCAAGATTCAATGAAGATCATCATCTTCCTCAGCCTGCTAGTTTTCTCCATGAATGTGGAAGGAAGATACCATTTCCACAAGAATCAAAAGAAAGCGTCCTCTGATCATCCTCCTAATGCAAGTATACCTCAACCTCAACCTCAACCTCAACCTCCTGTGTACCCACCATCAGTTCCTTCTGATCCGGGTTCTGCTCCAACCGACCCGGGTGAGGATACGGACTCCGGGCCATGTGTTTTTGACGTGACGGATTATGGTGCCATTGGAGATGGTTCCACCGACGACACTCCTGCTTTCAAGGCGGCGTGGAAGGATGCTTGTGCAGTAGCATCCGCTACAGTTTTAGTCCCCTCCGGTTGCACGTTCATGATAACTTCCACCATTTTCTCCGGACCTTGCAAACCAGGACTCGTGTTTCAAGTAAGATTTCTTGAATTGATTACGAATGTAGCCAATTTTACACATAAACAATTGTTTATCTCATGATCTGGATCATTGATGTGGTGTTTTTGTATGTGAAAATTAAGGTGGATGGGATCCTAACGCCACCTGCCGGACCTGACTGCTGGCCGGAGAAAGATAGCAAAAAACAATGGCTTGTGTTTTATAAACTCGATAACATGACTTTGACTGGAACTGGCACGATTGAAGGCAATGGCCAAGACTGGTGGGACCTACCCTGCAAGCCTCATCGGGTAATTAATTAAACTTTTTAAAAATATTATTTATTTTTCTGGCTTCAAAGGTCGATTTTACTGGAAATTAGTTAATTATATAACTCAACAAATATGAATTTTTCAGGGTCCTGGTGGCTCAACATTACCTGGACCATGTGACAGCCCTACAGTAAGTATAAATATTCTTCATGCTTCATTGTGTTGGGAAGATGATTAATTTAACATTTATATATCTAAAAAATTATTTTTCTGGTTTTCTGTATGTCAGTTAATTCGGTTCTTTATGAGCTCAAATTTGCATTTGAGTGGACTACGAATACAAAATAGTCCAATGTTCCATGTGAAATTTGATGGATGTGAAGGGGTAATGATAGATAAAGTGTCCATTTCTTCTCCTAAGCTAAGCCCAAACACCGATGGTATTCATATCGAGAACACAAAGTCTGTGGGGATCTATAATTCAATGATAGGCAATGGTATGATTATGATCAATTGATCATAGCTTTTTTTAATTAAAGTTTTATTCTACTTTTATAGTAACTATTTAACGTTTATGACTTATAATAATTGTTGTAGGTGATGACTGCATCTCAATTGGACCCGGGTGCATAAATGTTGACATAGAGGGTGTTACATGTGGGCCTAGTCATGGGATCAGGTATGTTTTGTTTTCTACTGTGACATTGTCGTCACTGGAATATAACTTTTCAGAAAAATAGATATGATCGAAATACCAACATACTTTCGTACAACTGTTTATTATAATATCTTATTTTCATTTATTCATATTACAACATCGTAATTAACTTTTCATATATATATATATATATATATATATATATATATATATATAGGTTCTATGGAAAACAAAAAAAACCCTAAAAATCATAAAAATACATAAAAAAAATACTTAGAGATCACAAAAAATATTTTTGAATTTTTTTATAAAAAATCGCAGGTTTTTGTTAAAATTCACTGAAAAAAAAATAAAAAATCAATTTTTTTTTTTTTTTGTAAAAAAATTTTTTTTTTCAAAATTTTTTTCACCGATTTTGTATAAAAAGCTGCGATTTTTTCAAAAAAATTTTCAAAAAATAATTTTGTGATCTCTAAGTATTTTTTTATGCACTTTTATGATTTTTAGAGTTTTTTTAGGGTTTTTTTTGTTTCGCAAATAACCCTTCCCTATATATATATATATATATATATATATATATATATATATATATATATATATATATATATATATATATATATATATATATATATATATATATATATGGAGCTCATTGCTTTTTGTCGGCTAGAAAATCTTGTTCTAAATAATCACACCGGTGTAATTTTTTTGCAGTATTGGGAGCCTAGGGGTTCACAACTCACAGGCGTGTGTTTCCAACATAACTGTAAGCAATGTGATAATACGCGATTCCGACAACGGAGTTAGGATAAAGACATGGCAAGGTGGGGCCGGATCGGTAACAGGGATAGCTTTTGAGAACATTCAAATGGAGAATGTGAGGAATTGCGCCATTATAGACCAGTACTACTGTGCAAACAAGAACTGTGAAAACCAAACGTCAGCTGTGTATGTTAGAGACATATCTTTCAGAAACATAAAGGGGACATACGATGTGAGAAGCCCTCCCATTCATTTTGCTTGTAGTGACAGTGTCGCTTGTACTAACATAACCATGTCGGAGGTGGAGCTTTTACCCTTTGAAGGGGAATTGGTGGATGATCCGTTTTGTTGGAATGCTTATGGGGTACAAGAGACTTTGACTATTCCTCCGATTGATTGTTTACAGGATGGAATGCCACAATCGGTGTCTGATGAAGGCGTATATGAGTGCTCTTGATGGGTATTTGGCTTGGGTACGACTTTTTTCTGGGTATTCTAGTTTAGACCTATATCTATACTCTATAGAGTTATAAATACTGTATAGAACCCAATTATATTGTTGCGATTGGGAAATTGTGTGTCCTCACACAGTCGTTTCTTGAAATTTATAAGTATAATACATCAATGGAATTAGGATGTCATTGGGGATGTGTGATGGTTTGTCATATGTATGTATATTCCACTTAGATGAAGAATCAGTCCACTCAGTTTTTGTTTGTTTGACTTAATTTTGAATGTGTGTATTGAGAAATCACATTTATGAAGATGTTAAGATGTTAACTCTACTAGATTATGACACGCGAACACATAAATAAAATACAAATTTATATAGATATTGCAAAATAATTATAAAAAATAAGGTTATTGGTATTATTGAAATGTGTAGAAAATACACTAAAATCGGTAAATATATATAGTCGTTGAAGGACCTCTTTATAGACAACATTATTTGTTTTATTAGTTGAACGACCTTGCCCGTCACATATAAGTACCTTCAAACTTTTCTTTACTTGTGACACAGAAAACAACTACATATAACCGACCATGCGTGAAAATGGGTCTATGCAAGTATAATTCAACATTTGACAATGTACTTCCAAAATACATTGTTATTTTATGGTTATATTGCGAAATAGAACTGTTTATTTAAAAAAAGAGCAACTTATTTATGTTCCTTCAAAATGAACCACATAAAACCCCCCACAATATTAAAAAAAAAAAACTCTAACCAATAAATATGAAAACAGTTATGTTTGCTCGATTTTGATATTGCATGTGACTCATTGAAAATGTCAAAAGATAGAATTGACACACAACATACTTGTTATTATGAGACAGATTAAACAATTTAAGCACATGTGGATGTCTTTTTTATTTTATGATAATGATAAAATAATGGAAAAAATGAATGCTTACTTCAAGACATCTGCGGACGTTTGGGTAAGGTTAGTGGTCTTAATTGTTGAGTATACATATCTTTTACATATAGCTATTAAATGGTTATTCAAGATGAATTAAAAAATAATGTTTTCTTGTTGCTTCAATGCTAAACAGATAAAAGAACAAAAAAACTTGATTTTCATTATATACCCGTTTAGTACAAAAATAGCCAACCGTAATTAAAGTAGAGACAAAACTATTAAGGAAACTGGTAGATTGAGGTTCTATTTTTTAAACATGTGATAAGGTAGAGATATACCAGGTCATGCAGCTAAAAGCTCGAATTCCTTCATCACCGGCTCAATGGGTTCAACGGATAACCCTAAACAGATCAAAAAACTTAAAATTTTCAAATAGAGATTTATACAATGGGGTCGAATTGATGGGAATGTTAAAAAGATGGAGGTGTCGATAACCTACAATTGGATGAATATGGGATCTATTAAACGATTTAAGATGAAAATCACCTACTGAGAAGATACTTGAATACAACACCAAACGATCATAAAAGGTTAATGGAAAGAAGTGTCAATTGTAAGGAATAGAATTGAATGTTTTTGGAAGGAATGAAATTTTTCAAATTAGTATAACATGTACCTCCGACTATCAGACATAAAACAGTTGTAGCAAATTTTGCATTACTTAACCGACTCTCTATAATGTATAATTAAAAATCAAGATAGTGTAATCATAATTTATTGATGTTAGTTAAAATGTAATTTATTTGGGGATGAGATTAGTTTTTGGTTATTTATTTGGGAAGTATAATATGTATTATGCATTACAAGTGCTTACCTTTTGAATTTAACATTTGTTACTTTAGAATTTTATTTTGGCTTGACATAGCCACGATCATCCCATATTTAATAATTTGTTCTTCTTGCACCTTTACAACGTGCTGACATGCATTCATTAAATCAAGATTTAACATTTTTTAAAAACAAATATAGACAAGAAACTATATAAAATAAAACATGTAACATATTCATCAAAAACCTTTGTATAACAATACTAATGAAGTAAATAGAATTTAGTAACGTACGATGGATGAGTGATCTTGTGCAACATTACTTTTATTGCCTGAAGTGTACTCCATCTAGCACATATGAATTGAAGTGCTCTGATAAGTCGAATTGACAAGCAACAAGTAATATAGGAGGTAATAGGTGTGAAATATTCACAAATGTCGCAGAAAAAAATGAATCAAACAAATGGCAGAACTTCAATGTCTGTTTGGTGTGAGACCCGTAATAGCAACATACTTTGTTTAATAATATGATTCATTATTTTAAGTAATCATATATTTGGAAAAAAATATTCATTTACAAAGATAGAAGTTTTGTTAGTAATTTTATAATTTTTTGCATAATCATTTGTAGGTCTCTTTGTTACAATTTATATTACTGCTTTCCTGTACAAGTCTAACGATATTCAACGGAAGCATACAGCCTTAAAGGTAATAATATGATATGCACCTTCCATCATCTTAGTTTGGTGTTTAAAGTTTAAATCTTCTATCCTAATAAAGGAGTACCCAATTACCACATGGAAATTGCTAAGCCACGACAGCTAAATCGGATACACTACTCCTTCTATGGATTTCATATATTCTTCGAACGCATTTATAATGGATCACAAATTAATCTGCAACGAAGCTAATCATCTCCCTCCACTTCGCCTCTCATATCAGGTATTTTTTTCCCTAATCTGAGTTACTGTCACTATCATCGACAATGTTAAGATTCATTGATGGCTTCTTTTTGATTTTAGGGATAATATGACATAAATCATTTATCAAGCGCATCATTTATGTTTATATCTTTTTTTTTGTTGATTTTGATATGCCTTCTTCGGTTTACCACCATCTTTTTTTTTCAGGCTCCTTTTTTATGAAATAACATTTTTTTGTAAAATTCGTTCTACGGTTTTGAGTATGTACGGTTTTGAGTATGTGCAGGCACGTTGATTTTTTTGAAGTAAAGAAAGTAGGGTTTTTGTTCGATGTTGGTTCCTAGGTTTGGTTCTTCTTTTTTCAGATTTCTTATAAGCCATTGCTTTTTATTTTCCATCTTTATCTACAATCTTTATGTATAGAACACTTTATCCATATAGTTATTCACTACAGAGCTTAATGAAGGAAAAAAGAATCACCCCCTTAGTTTTATTTACTTTGCAGGTTATCGAGCCTCCATGCAAAACTAACAACATAATAAAAAAAACGAAAAACCCTTTTGAGGTAAATGCCAATTACGATTCTACCCCTTTTCCTCTTGTAACAATTATCTCATTTCAAGACTTCAAAACATATGTTTTTGTGTTTCAGCATATTACTGATAGCATGAAAGATCCAAGCATTGCTGCATTTTGGTTAATTACCATGCCTCAAATTATGGGAGGATTTGAATATGATGATGAGGTCAAACAGAAAATATGGTGGCAATACAAATTTCTTCTTCTTCTTATTTATTTATTTATTTTTAAATTCAACTTTATTACGAAATTAAATAGCTTCTTTTGTTGATATTATTGTTTCTTATTTACGAAAATATGTGATATGATCAACTTCGTGATGTGTAGCAATGAGAAAACCTGGATGGGCAAGAAGTGAGATAAATTTATAATTTATTAACTTCAATGAGAAATTAATTAATTACTGTTTTTTTGTTATTGAATTTGAAATACAACAAGGATTATATCAATGACCTAGAACGTGCAAGAAATGATCCAGTGGTAGTAAAGAACATTCCTTACTACAAAACAAAGAGAAAATTAGAGGCAGAAGTGATGAAGCTCAATCCACCACCATGACCTCAAAACTGGGGGGCATACACTATAAACCAAAGTTTTTTCATTTATTTTTAGTACATTACATATTTGGTCCCTGTGTTTAGTTGATTTTTTCGGTTTTGGTCCCTGAAAGAATCAGATTGTAGTTTTTGGACCTTGTTTCACTGTTTCATAAAACTTTTATAATTGCCTAAGTTAACAGCCTAGTTGTTAGTTTTTTTTAAAATGACCATTTTGCCCTTGGACCAAAACTAAAAAAAAGTATAGCACAACGACAAAATTTATATATATATATATATATATATATATATATATATATATATATATATATATATACATAAGGTGTAAGTAGTCCTTGAGTATACCTGATTTTTTTTCAGAACGTTCTAAGGGGCGTTTTTGGTATTTTAGGGTCAAATGTTGACTCTAGTTGAGTACACACTTCTGTTATACCGTGCATTCTTACATGTCCATGTATGGTACCGATTCTTTTTGAACAAAGAATACGTGAGCCTCTTTTCATCTTTGACAACATGCTTCTATTTAACTTTAAAGCTCACATAAGTTGTTGAGAAGGTATATTTCTAATTCTGATTTTGTTACTACCAGAGACATAAGAAAACTTTCTAATGAGGGCGTTCATGTCTTTTGTACAACCCGTCTGTTATATTATGTCATGTCCTCTTTTGTCTTGTCCATTGTCTTTTTACAAAGGTATGCACACATGTAACATCATAATTTCATTATATATATAACATCCAAGTTTAACATTGAGTTTACTGTTTTCGAAAATAGGATCATAGTCACAGATTAAAAAGATGGAACCAAGAAACAAACATAACATAAAAAAAATATAAATTCAAAAACAACATTATACATCCAAATTATAAGTATTCAACAAAGAACCATACGAATGAGTAAAAACATATAAATTCGAAAACAATATCAGACTTATAGATTAAAAGGATTTAAGGAAGAAGTACATACACTTATTCGACTAATCAGACTGATGGGAAGGTTGAAGTTTTTTTGCTTTTGTTTTCTGCGAGGAATTATGACAGAATGTTTGTGTAAATCGATTATTAAAAAGGTTTGAAATATATATACAAGTCAATATGATGAAAATTAGCAGGTAATCAATTGAAATCCCATTTAAACTTAAAATAGAAGATATCATGCTTGAAAATGTATTGATTCATAATAGAAAAAATTGCAAAAATGGTCCATGTGGTTTGCCGATTTCTGTGGGTAAGGTCCAAAAAAAAGTTTGCTAGCAAAAAACGTCCTTATTTGATGTTTGAGCTGTGGATTTGGTCCCTGCCTCTAACTGCCGTTAGCGGAATTCCGTTTTCTTCCCCACGTGCCATGCACGCGAGGGTATTTTTGTCCTTTCATTTATGGGGGGAATTCTCATCTATTACCGCGCATTTAACGATGCCCAAAAACATCAGACACTCCAGCTTCTTCCTCGTTCAATTTCCATTGACGTTCGAACCC